TTATTTTTTTTTTCCATAATGCTTTCTGAAAGAAACAAATATTAAAAATAAAAGAATAAGGATGATATGTACTATACCTTGAAACAAGTGTGATAATCAAGTTCAGCGGAGTAACCAGCTGGTGATATGGAGACTCCTGAAATATTAATTAGGCACATCATTACTCTCAGCTCCTCTGAGGTCCCTCTACCAGAGGAAATTAAAAGGCCCTCTGTGGAAAAAAGCTAACCCAAACTTTCAGATTTTTTGTCGTGCGCCTTTTTTTTCAAATTCGCGTTTTCCCCTCCCTTCACCAAGCAAAACAATTCATCTGCACAGGCTACCGGAAGCGACAACAACACGGCAACAGCGTTCATTCTCAGTTGAACGACGCGAGATCGCCTCTTTGGAGATTTGCTAACTAACAGCCATGAAATTTTATGGCAACTTTGTAATTTTATTAACAGTTAGCACGGTCATGTACGGGGCACGTTGTAACTGTTTAAAGAACGTAAACTGCAGCGAAATATGGATACCACAGAAGACTACACCGCGCATAAAAATTATTGCATATCAAGTTCTAAAACCACGACAACATCCACACGTTCGTCGTTTTTGGCTGCTACAGTATAGACAAAAACAAACACAAACAAACAAAAAAGCAAATTCAAGAAAAAGACATAAAAACCTTTCACAGCTATTTTGAATGCTACCAAAGAGCTTTTTCCGAGAGGAGCTTTCGTTCATAAGTAAATGGCAAATATTTGACAAAGATTTGCGATTCCAGGAGACTCATAACCTAATAGACACCAGACCACTGTATAATAATTTTCATTAATTTTACAACTTGTCTCGCAAAAATTTATCTTCACAATATAAATCCACCAAATTAACAACAAATGCAGACTACTGCAACGGCCTCGTCACAAAGATTTTAAACTAAAATATAAGGGATACATATACACCCAAAAACGTATTTACGTGCTAATATGCACTTCATTTGTGGCTTTTATTTGATGTAACATTGAGTGACTGAATTGCAATTAGAAGTATATTTTTCATTATAACAAATTCTTAACGTAATTCTGCCGCAGTATGCACAACTGGTATTCAACATTTCTATCGTTTGCTCAAAAACCTCGCCAAAAAAAGTATCCAGTTCACAATGAAATTTGTCTCACTTTTCGTGAAGTTCCATGTCACAGGTT